AAGCACGTGGTTTCCTCCGGGAACATGAGACGTTTGTCTAAAACAGTATTTCGTTTCAAAAACACTTCTTGTTCTGTTTTCAAGTTTGACAAAAGTTACAGCTATTGGTCTGCAAAGTAAACCACAGTAGCTGAAAACCTTGTGAAACACTGGGCATAATGTGATGAATTAGTTAGGTCTGAAATGTAACAACTTGATAATTCAATACAAAAGAAGTAAATGTGCTTACAATCAAGGAGGATAAATCATTCTCATGGCAGTCATCCTCCTAAAACCGAAATGTTGGTAAGATATATCATGTACTTTGAGCATTCCAATATTATGTTTTTTCAAAAGAAGAATTTTGCAGTCAAAATAATGATAATAATACTTAGAATTTATGATATTAATATAATAATAATAATGATGATGATGATGAGAGGACTCACAGGAAAAAATAACGGATTCCCATTTTTGGATATTTTTGGGTATTTAAAGAATACCCACAAAAATCCCAAATTTGGAAGAGTGAGACAAGTCCCTTAGACCCTTGAACCAACCCTTAAGGGACCAACGGACTTGTCTCACTTTGCCAAATTTGGGATTTTTATGGGTATTCTTTAAATACCCAAAAATATCCAAAAATGGGAATCCGTTATTTTTTCCTGTGACTTGCTGATCCCACCAGGACTATTCATTACCATTATCAACATCATCATCATCATCATCATCATTATTATTATATTATCATTGCTACTATTGTTATTTAAGTCTTCATTTCCAATATATTTTACAAGAATACCAGCAAGTAAAGCCACCCTGGATCACTAAAAAATGTTATCAAATGTCTGGCAATTTTTGTGGCCCTGCTGTAATATAGTCAATAAAGTGATTTATTTATTTATTTACAGAATCAGTGCAGAGCACAAGGCGCATAAAACAAAAGGTCACCAGGTCCCCTACAAGGTTTTAGAGCCTGACTCATCCCCAACTGATAACTATATCACATAGAAAGAAATTTGTCTTCCTAATAGTGAAGCTTGGCATAAAAGCTTGTAGGACTTAAACAGCTGGCTTTATATACCGCCTAAATAATATACATATCATTTTAAATGAACAGCAGTGTTCAAGATGTAAAAACCTCACCTGCATAAGATTAATTGGCACTTCTTCAGGTCCCTCCCGGACTTCACGGTTACTAATAGGAGTTGAGAGTTGCACACTTTGAAAAGAAAGAGGTGGACAACTTAGTGAAATTTAAAGATATTCGTCAGCTAGCATTTAGATGCAAGTGCTAAGGTAATCCTTTAACTTTATATTTTGTACCCTCAATTACAAAAAAACGCCGAAAAAACATTATGTTTATCAAACACAAATGCCATGCATGATCATGTAAGAATACTAGTTCATTTTAGACCTTTATTGTACCCTTCATCTTTAGAAACCCACATATATGAAAAGAACATAAAAACCAGTATATTTTGCTAACAGCCCATTTTACAGTTGTGTGCTCAGTGACCTTGCCTTTGCGTAGAAGTGAGGCTGGAGTTGGCTATGTTGATACCAACCTCAGTGCTATCACATGTAAATGCAACAAGTTGCACAAGAAAACCAGTGAGGTTTGTATCAAAACATAGTCAATTCCAACTTAATTTCTACTCAAAGGCAAGATCAATAAGCACCCAACTGTAAAATAGGCTATCACTCGTATTCATTGCACTCAATCATCTGGAAGATTTCATTGAATTCAAAAATTTTTATTATGTTATCCAACCAACATGTTCATAAATTAAAGCCCATATACTTCTTCGATAGAAAGAAATGTTTATGTTTTCTTTCTGAAGATATTAATAAGTTTGCATAGTTCAAGCACTGTATCTTTGCCCTTTCCTGTAATCTTTCCCACTAAACAAGTATTGGTACTTACCATGTTTAGCGTTTTTTGTAAGGAAATAGAGAAGAGGGAGGTTCATGCTGGTTTCCTGTTTGTAGGATAGCACAGTAAATCCCTCGGTTGTAATCCTGGGATATTGCGGAAGGCTGACTTGATGTCCAACTTGGACATGAAGTACCCTTGATCAATGTTCTGAATGAAAGAGATGGCAGTATCTAGTGTAGTGTAGTGTAAGGAGTAGTCGGCTGGGCTAATGTGGGAATTAATGCTAGTGGTTTCATGTTTGGGAAAGGAAAGATGAAAAATGGTTCTCCACTATGTGGAGTGCTCTTTTGGATAGACCTGAAAACTGGGAAAAGGGGGAGAAATGAATGGGCCAGCAGTATGACTAAGCTGTAACTCTTTCGGGAGATTGGTGCTTATGATATGTGGATTTTGCCTAGCAGAAATGAGGTTGGGGTATTCCTTAGAAACCCGAGGACCCTGGAAACCAACTTTAAAACCCTGGGAGAGGCCAGTGAGGACAGCATTGTCGTGAATAGCTAAAAGATCTCAACCAAACAGACCCATTTGAACTGTCCCAATCCTGTTTAATGCTCTCCAATCACAAGTGATTACACAACAACCCTTTTCTGCCGAGCTAGGGTTCCTAAGTCTAAAATTACTCATGGTTATAAAGTAAACTAAACAGCTATCAGTTAATACATCTTGACAAATCCACTCGAATTTCTTGTAGTCATGCAAGCGTCACACAAACACCTAAGTTCTCCACAGCATCAACAGATGCACGCTAAGGGTGATCACGCAAATAAAGGGCAAGTTGGGGAAGGTCAATAGGGGTGGTAGGGGACAGCTTAGAAAGGTATTCAATTGCGGCTTTGGGTGGAATGTCTTGAACGGCTAGTCTTTGACTGGGTGGGTCCAGAGCTTGAGGAGTCAGGGTGGTCCTTTCCTGAGTGGGCTACAGTGCATCCAGGCTTGTTGCATTGGTGAGTGTAGTGGCAGGGGGTGCGGGCGCAGGGAACCCTTTGTTGAAGTTGAAGCAGAGGTCACCACATTTGGGGCCTGAAGAGTCTGTAGTCCTGGGGGAAAGGAGGAATCGGTTGCGTGATCCGAGCTGCTGCAGGCCTTACAAAGTATGGCTTTTGGGACGCCAGTAAAGGTGTCAAGGGTACAACTGAACATCCCCTTGACCCCAGTTAATGGAAAGGTTGTGACAGGCCCATCAGCGAAATTCCATATCATACAAATACCATGCCATACCAGGGAACTTACTGGCTGACTCACGTATCAGTTGCTGGTAGGCGAAGAGGTCCACCCCCCCGGGATGGGTAAGGGGAGAGGAGTACAGACGAGTAAATGGAAAAAGCATCGAGCTATCGGTCAATCCCAGTAATTTTGGGGCACTTAGCCTGGGATGGGAGGGGTATAGTAGGCCCTCGTTTCCTACTTGTAGTTTAAGCTGGGAATTAGCGGTAACATGGTCTCGTAGTAGAGACGACAAAGGAAGAAGGCTAGCAAGGTCCACGTACTCACCATTTGTTATGGCTGCGATGCAACTGTTGGAGAGATGGCTGGCGATAGAAGGGACTCTATAGTTGGTGTGCAGGAGGGCTGTCTCTTCAGGTGTGCCAAGATTAAAATCTTGCTAAGAGGAGGACAGCGAGAAATCCAGAGAGGACGGAATCTGTTGTTGTCTGCCAGTGTGGACCGATAGGAGAGAGGGATCTGGTGCAAGGCTCATAACGCGTGGCAAATGTTGCTGAGCAGATGGCTGAATGATGCCAGATGTTGAGCTCAATAGCAAGTTGCTCGCAGAGTTTAAGGTTGCCAGTTTTTGCTCCACAATAGAAGCAATCATGGAGGCCAACTGCTGATCTGGTATGGTTGCTGGGCCGGTAGGTGGTGATGTGGAATCCTGAGAATCATTCACTTGGAGGCATGTGATGAGCTGCTGCCGTGGCCCTGATTGTACCAGGGGGCGCTGGGACAAAAGTAAACATAGTGTTTCGGTCAGGATTTCTGCATACCGCGTCATTTGTACTACATCTGCAGAGTTTGCACGGCCATTTGACTGAGCCATGGTAGACTGAACCGTAGTGCTGTGGGTGCTTTGAGATTTATGTTGTTTTGGCATGATATGTGCACGGAGACAAAAATACAATCTTAAAGAGTGCGAGTCTAGGCACTTGCTTGAAGAACAAAGCTGAAATCTGGCTGACTAATGGTATGAGGGGTTTACATGAGGCGAGACAGGTGACAATCATGTGATATTGTGGAAAATTACTGGAAGCTTTAGCGACCACTTTAACATTGTAAAAGTGAAAGTACTTTGAGCTAAACAATGAGCTATTGACTACTGCACAAGCCTTGATTGCAAGGGTGAGGAGAGTATAGTACACTAGGGACAAGTGAGGAAAGAACTAGTACTCTCTTAGGGCTCATTAACCCCAGTTAAGAGCTTAAACGTATAATAAAAATCCGAGTTGTTTAATTGAAAAATTAACAATTCAGTTTTTTGCGTTAGAAATCCGAGTTGTGTACTTTAGAGATTGCACTACTCGGATTTTTGTGATTTGTGTAATTGAAAAATTAACAACTCGGATTTTTGCAGAAAAAAAATCCGTTGTTTATTTGAAAAGACTTAACAAGTCACATTTTGTAACAAACGTTAAGATGAAAATTTCAATCGAAAAAACAAATATTGTTGAGGTCCTATATGGGCCACAGTACTCAAGAATTGAATATCATGCCGTGAACATTTTCCTTGGAGCATGAAAATAGCCCCAGCGTGAAATTTGGATAAGCCCCCTTTTCGCGTGAATGTTCACATATGGAATATAATCATGATAATGACTATGATGGTGGGTAATCAACAATCTAATATAGCAGAATAAATCTAAAACATCAAAATTAGATTAAACATTTTAACACTGTCGTGGAGGTAAACAGCTCCGGAAGTCTATTTAAAGTCAACATGCATTTTCTTCTTGTTCATACTCTCTCCTTGTTTTCTCAACATTGTTTTTTTTCCTTTGGTTTCATACCAGTTACTTGTTGACCCTATTGTCCTGGTGGTATTCCTATTTTAACAAGGAAGAAAGAGAGAAACAAACAAACAACATCTATTGATTTTGTTACAATAATGCCAGACAATCTACCAAAAAATTGTAAAGTTCTCCAGCGAATTTCAAAATTGTATCTCATTTTGACTGAGATGATCAACAAATTTAAGCCTGACTAACTTTGTTCTCCAGACCTCCGTAGTTGCAAATGATATCAAGAATCGAAAAACATGAAAAGATTAAAGATTATTAATAACAAATTATCGCCCACTTGCAAGAAAGTGTTAGGGCGTTAAGATACAGCGTCAACGAACTACAAAGTGCAGTTGGACAAGCGTTATCCTTTGTTTGTAGCACTGGGTTGAGTCGTATGAAAATAAATTAACTCTCTACGAATGTAAATAGATAAAACTACAACAATCAAGTCTGGGGTAAACAGGGAAGGGCTCCGAAGTGAACCCTTCCATTTAATAACATTTGCCCAACTGAGACGGTCAAGATACAGCAAATGTACAAAACAGGAATAAAAAAACGTGAAAACAACAAAAAAAAAAAA